GAAATAGCAGCAGCAGACCTCACTCCCAGGTGGATATGAACAATAAATCAAATTACTACAAAAGCCAGGTCTGTGTTATTCTTTGGGGTACATCCACACAAAGTTTTTGGCATTGTTAAGATGTAGGTAAGGAGAAAGTGGACAACAATATTGCTGGTCCTTGGCTGTTCCTAATAAATGGCCTTCATGCCCTTCACCTTTGTTCCTCCCCTCTGAGCGGAGTTACTGGGGAATTCTACTGTCTCAGATTCAAATAACATCTACAATTATCAGTCCATGGGACATATCACAACAGGTAAGCTATGGAACTATGTTTCCTTGGTATTTCTTATTCCCTGTATTTTCTGGTTCTTGTAGAATCAGAAAGGAGAGAGTAATGATTTACTTCCAGTTGTGGGGCTTATTTTAATTGGCCATGTATCATAATACAAATGGAAGTATGGGATTCTCTTCTCCCTTAGAATTGTTGTCCACTGATGCAAAGCTATACTCTCAGTTGCAAAGTGCTTGGCACAATCTTGCATATTATCCATCTTGTTGTCACATATTACTACCCTAGTTAGTGTTATGAGTTAAAATACAATGAAACAAATCAGGTAAACTTACCACAATGCTCATGATTATTTTGCTGTTGTTTTTCTTAACATACTCTAACCAAAAATCTTGTAAACAGCATTCACTTGAATGTGGTTCATACCCTATGGTTTTTGCCCTTTATAATTTTCTTAGCTGAATTATTCTTTTGTCCTTTTTGAACTTGATTAATCCAATTCAGTGTTCAAATTTCAACCTCATTGCTTCTTTAATATTTGACCTTCCTCATAATAAGCTCAATTAATGGCTTTCTCTTTCATATTCGCACAGCATTACATTTTTAGTTAACAGTTATAAGTGCATCTGCTACATTTTTAGCTTCTTAAAGGGAGAAAAATATGTCTTGTTCATTATTATATATCCACCTATGATACTGAAAACACTTTAAGCCTGGCTGAAGTACAAGTTTACTTCAATATCTTGATTAAAAAAATTTTTTTTCTGTAGGTAAAGGGAGTACTTAGAATGCCAAAGAGGAGATTTTTCATTGCTTTATGTATTATTTTGATAATTTACATTTTTAGGAAAAGAGACATCTGAATCAAGAAAATCAATTAAAAAACAGTTGGGAAACTAAGAAAAGATACAATTGTTTCATGTCACAATCTAATTAGATACGAGGTCTGAAGGAAAGTGAACAGAACATGATGATTTTAAGTTTTTTTGTCTTGAATTTATACATAAGAAAAAATGATTAGTCATATGTAGGATATTTTTGTGTTTGGGACTGATATTGAGTGTAAATTTTAGTAGGTCAAATTTATGGTGCTTTTGAGAATGACATGGACATAAAATACCTTTGCGGTTGGAGCTGAATAGAAGATTGTACTGAAGATTTTTAAAAGTTATCCAGCCATAATTTTATCAAACAATATTTATCAAATATTTATTAATGATTACTGTGTACTTTTCATGGGGGATACAAGATGAATAAAGTGCTGTTCCTTGTCACAAGAGGAATTTGAGCCTGGTAAGTTTTGGTCAATAAAAATAAAATCTGTAGATTAGGTGACAATATCCTAAATAAATTAGTAGATTTAGAAAAGAAAAAGCCAAAGCATAGAGCCCTAGATATCCACACTACAAATGGGTCAGGAAAATAGGAAAACTGGCACAAATGTTTACGAATAGTGATTAAAGAAACAAAGAAGGAAAAAAGAAGGTGTGATACCCTGAGAACTAATAGAGAGAAGAGTTTCAAGAATAATGCAATCAACAGTGAAAACACCCCAAAGAGGTTAAACAATGCATAAAAGTAATGACAAATACTATTTATTCCATTCCTATAGTACATCACAAACTGGAAAAGATGTTTTATTTAACCTCAAGGCAATCTACAATAGAAGTACCATGATATCTAAATTTCAGATTAAGAAACTGAAGTTCATAGAGGATACATTTCTTCACATCACATGAATAATAAGTAGCAGATTGAAGACTCAAAGTCTAGTCTGCCTATCTTCCAAGCCCAAGATAGGTCTAAAAATAAATAGTTAGTTGACAATTAAAAGATAACCTTGATAAAAGTGCTACAAATCAAGTAATATAGGATACATATTGATAACATCTTATTATTCAAACAAATATTTCTGAAGTGTTTACTAAAGTCTGCAACATGGACTAAATGCTGAGGATATAACAATAACCCCTACCCTTATAAATCTTAAAGACACTTACAATCTAAGGTGAACCAAAACAAAAAATCGATAAATTAGCAAATCATTATTTAACTTCAATTATTATGTCACATATACAAAAAAATAAAAAATACAGTGCTCAAATAAGATAGTTAGAAGTTGCTTGACATCTGAATGACAAAGACACAATAAAGCTTAAACTCCAGATTTTTAAAAGAATTTTTATTACATTATTTATTTTTGAGAGACAGATTACAAGTTGGGGAGGGGCAGAGAAAGAAGGAGACACAGAATCTGAAGCAGGCTCCAGGCTCTGAGCTGTCAGCACAGGGATCGACTCATGGGTTCGAACTCACAAACTATGAGATCATGACCTGAGCCAAAGTCGGACGCTTAACCGACTGAGCCACCCAGGTACCCTCAGATTTTCTCTCTCTCTCTCTCTCTTTTTAATAGTTTATTGTCAAGTTGGTTTCCAAATAACACCCACCCTCAGATTTTCTCTTAAGAATCTTGAAAGTTAATGGAAGACAAGATATCTTTTAGATCTCAAGAAAAAATTCACAGTACCAGGAGGAGTTTTAAAGACATTATTACTTACTTCTGGGTAGGGCCTAACAAAGAAGGAAAGATTAAAAGAGTAGGTAGAGATAGGTAAATTGAAAAGGAGTAGAGGGTCTCATTGGAAAGGCTAGTCTTGACTGAATGGGAACCCATTCCAAAAGAAATGCAAAAAAGAAATGAAAACCTATACAATTATAGACATGGAATCTCTGGAGGAATGGGGACTTAGCTCATCCAATGACTTCTTTTTGCCTATCATCTGCTCCATGTTAACAGTGTGGTAAAGGAGTTAAGAGGAAGCTTGAATAAAGGTTTTAAAATTCCACTGAGGGAAAGGGGGCAAGGAACCAAGAAAGGAAATAACTGTTGAGTGGAATTTTGATAATATGAATCAGATTCTGTTGCACTTGAATTAGCTTCCTGTGGTACAAAAGACCACTAACTGATGTTTCCTTTGTTTGTAGCTGTACATTACCTGTCTTCCGTCACCTATCTCCTGGATGGATCTGAACTGTTCTCTCAAGAAGACTAATGAGGCAGCAGAAAATGTTGTAAAATTGTGCCTTTTGACCAGTGAACCTGTTCCTTGATTCTTCTCAATAAGAAAAGAAATTCAGGATGCTAATTTTTAAGATGTTTCTCTGACAATCATCCCCTATGTATGGCCAAGATGTATAAAAAGATGGTAAAAAAAAAAATCTGGGAACATTTGTCTGTAGCTCAAACAATTTTTTTCCCACCAAAAAATCTGTTTATATAGAAGGAGTTCATGGATTTGAGAATGTATGAGGTAAAACTTCAGAAGCTCTGGTGTATTTCCCTGTCCATCCTTTCACACTACTATTCTATGCTTTCCTAGGACACTAAGGAATGGAGGGAAGATATAAAAACAAAGTCAAATCATGGTCAAGGATATTACCCTTTGCAATATAAAATAAAATGAGACTCAGGATGACCAAATGATTTATTGTCCAAACTAGAGCACTTTGAGAATAAAAGGAAGCATTACAGATAATTACGCCAAGATGCCGGGCATAAGTCAGACAAGTCCTGGGCAACCCCAGATTACTCAGTGACCTCTTGGGTGAAATTGGTAATGAAAGACTCAGAGGTAGCTTTGGGCCCTAGACAGTTGAGGGTTCTGGTGAATTCTTACCATAATGTAAGGAGTCACCATAGTTACTGTCATTTTGACCTCTTTTAACTAAAATAGTTTAACAAGAAAAGACTACATTTTAGCAATAAAAGATTGAACTTATGAGGTAACTCGTTTACAAAATAAAGCACACTTAGGGGCACCTGGGTGGTTCAGTCAGTTAAGTGTCCAATTTCAGCTCCGATCATGAACTCATAGTTCGTGAATTTGAGCCCCGCATTGGGCTCTGTGCTGACAGCTCAGAGCCTGGAGCCTGCTTTTGGATTCTGTGCGTCCCTCTGTCTCTGTTCCTCCCCCACTCACACTCTGTCTCTCTCTCTCTCTCTCAAAAATAAATAAACATTAAAAAATTAAAACACAAAACAAAATAAAGCATACCATCGGGTTTTTTTGTTTTTGTTTTTATTTTCTCGTTACAGGTTTGGACCCCAATAAAGATTCCAAGTGTTGAAAATAGTGAAGTATGCAGAATTCAACAGAAATGAAATGGTTGGAAAATTATTGCTCTAGGTAGTTATATTCATGAAAATAAAGTAGCTATATCAAATTCTCAGTTGTAGCTGAATGCAAACACTCCTAGTCTGCTGTAATGGTGTGCAACACAAAGGTGATCCTGTAAGCTGAAACTCTGCAAACTCGTTCTCAGAATCCAAAGGAAAAATTTTGATTGTGTTGCAACCTTTAAAACTCTTCTGCCAAAACATTAAAAACTTCTTACTGCTGATTAGAAATGTGCAAGGAAATGAAAAAAAGGGAAAATTAATATTATGTAATATATTGGAATTTAAAATATTAGAAACATTGAGGATTAAAGTGGCTTCTTTCATTTATCAAGAGAAATAAGAAGAATGGTACAACTTCTTTTGATACAACTTAACTGTATACATTAGGCATCTTTTCTGTCCCTTGGAGACTTGTCATACTCCTTTTGAAGTTAGGATAAGTTTTTAACGTTTTAGTCTTTGTGATGTCAAAGACATCAAAATTTTCCAACAGTTCCTTTAAAGTGAAGTTTTTTTGCTGGCATCACATTACTTTAGGCAGCTTCATCTCCCCCAGAACAGCTCCTTTACTCATTTATGCCAAGAAATTACCTTCAGCAAGTTCCTCAGTTCTTCAGTAAGTTCTTCAGTAAGTTAAGAGTCCTCTGAGATTCTGAAATGATGCAGTATCAACATTCTCAGTCAGCTATTTCTTTATTATTATTATTATTTTAATATTTTTGTTATTGAAGTATAGTTGACAACTGTTTGATATTTAACTCTATTTGGATTTAATTTGCATTCTGCAAAGTTATTCACACATGTGGAAAAAGCTCTTGTGTATTATGTGAATATCCTGTTACTTCCTTCCAAGATGTTTGAAATTTTTCAGCTGCATGCTTTTATACTATTACTTCTAAAACTTGGCTAAAGAAGTTTCATGATCTCCAATTGCAGTGTCAATAGTCTGTCCAAAAGTCCATCTCTAAGATTTTGAAAGCTTAAGTAACTCCTTAGATTAATGAAGTTGTGTTTGGTGGTAAAAAGCAAATTTTCACATTTTCTCTCAAGACCCTAAGAGAATCTGGGTGATCTAGAACATTATCTAGCAGTAGCAGTGCTTTAAAAGGTAAATTATCTTGGGTAAAGTATCTCTACAACTGAGAAACACAGAAGGTAAACTACTGTATGTTTAACTATCAATATGTAAACAGAATAAGTGATTCTTTTTTTTTTATTTTTTTAAAATGTTTTATTTATTTCTAGGAGAGAGAGAGAGAGAGACAGCGTGAGCAGGGGAGGCTCAGAGAGAGAGGGAGTCATAGACTCTGAAACAGGCTCCAGGCTCTGAGCTGGCAGTCAGCACAGAGCCTGACGCGGGGCTCGAACCCACGAACCGCGAGATCATGACCTAAGCGAAAGTTGGACGCTTAACCAACTAAGCCACCCAGGCGCCCCAAGAATAAGTGATTCTTAATGAGCACGATCGTGGACAGATCTTGAAAGAAGGGACATGATTGGTCACTGATTATAATGAGCATCTGTAACTTATGTAGCAGCAACATTTATACTTTATGCAATTACTCACAACATATTGTAGTAAATGAAAACTGAACTGTGTTGTTGGGGGACTAGTGTTATTTAAGTGAACCAAGGTCCCTGAAATCTGTCGTATAGGAACCATGCAAAGTGAGAACTATCTGTGCTTCCAATACAGTTAGGTACTGCATAATTTGAGTACCTCCATTGACCCCTGTAAATTATAGCAATTTTTAAGTTCAATTAATACCTATATCTCATTAATATGTTTGTTTCAGGAGTAGAATTTAGTGATTCTCCACTTACATATAATAACACCCAGAGAACAAAGAGAAAACTCTGAGTGAATTAGAATGGTAGAATATTTCCTTAAAGTGCTAACAAAATAGTGATTCTATATTTTTTGTACTCACCAAAACGTGTTTATCACCATTCTTATTTAACATTGCCTCAGTATTCTAGCAAGTAAAACAGAGAAAAATGAAAAGATCAGTGACAATTGATTATAAATGACAAAATATTAACTGTGGATTTATATAAAAAGTGACCTTGAAAAAAATGACTGAAGATTATGTTGGCCAATCTCATGACAAATAATCATGACATATACCTTATTATATACAAACTAAAAAAGCTGTTAGGAAAGCAAATTGCTCTAATGAGAGAAAAGGTATTGTCCAAAGTAACAAATATATAAAACTCATATGAAAAAAGTAATAAGGGATATGAAATGATGAGGACTTAAGATTGTAGTAAAAAGTGCCAAGATGAACAAAAAGAGTAATAATTTATTCTTGGATAGAAATTTCAGTGTCTAAAAGTATTACTCCTCTCAGATCCATCAATCAAAATAAAAATTCTGGAAAATATCCGTTAAAATTAATATTACTTTTTCAATTTTTTATATGTAAGAAAATTGAATTCTTTAGGATGTAATCCCATGTGGATTCTGGCTAAGAAGGGGACTAGTTTCATTAACATCACGTGTATTTCCTACCATTTTCTAGAGCAAACAGGTGTTATTTCTGATATTTAAAAATAAGTTCAGGGCACTGGGGTGGCTCAGTTGGTTAAGAATCTGACTTCAGCTCAGGTCATGATCTCGCAGTTTGTGAGTTCGAATTGTGCATTGGGCTCTGTGTTGATAGCTCAGAGCCTGGAGTCTGCTTCGGATTCTGTGTCTCCCTCTCTCTCTGTCCCTCCCCTGCTTGTGCTCTGTCTCTCAGTCTCTAAAATAAATAAACATTAAAACATTTTTTTAACTAAAAAGGCAATTCCTAAAAAAAATACCTAACTAAAGTAAATAATCAAATATATACTAATTTTGCAGCAAAAGCACCAAGATAAGAATTATTTTAAGTGATATTAAAATACAGTATTTGACTGTACCTGCCTGATGAGATATGCCATAAGGAAGAAAATGAAAGAATCATGAATTTACTGAATATTTGCAATGAGAAGTAAGATAAGGAGAAAAGGTCAGATATAATCTGATTTGTCTAACAAAATTGGCATGATTGAATTTTCTGGGTATTTTAGGGGACTTGAAAGTTAGGTCAAATTATAGATAAATGAAAGATATATTTTTGCACATTTAATTTTTGTTCCAGTCAAAATTTGATTCTGCTGCTTTTGCAAATGCAATCCTTTACAATCATAGAAGACTAAGGTATTATTACCACACATACTTTATTCTAGTAATGCTAGGACACTTTATTAGAAAATATATTCATAGAAATGATTGTACTTCAAGACCTGTGATCGAACAAAACACTTTCCTTCAGGACTACTGAAGTGTCCTTCACAATTGTGATAATAATAACCACAAAAATATAACATACTTATTACGATTTTGCTCGCCAGTTACAATGTGGTGGTTTCTTCCCCATACCACCAAGCAGTTGGACACCAGCTGGGTGTTCTACAATTCAACTCAATTCTTTTCTGTTTTCTTTTCTTTTTTCTTTTCATTTCCTTTCTTTTCTTTCCTTTTCCTTTCTTTCCTTTCCCTGTACCTTTTCCTCTCCCCTCCCCTCCCCTCCTCTTCCCTCCTCTCTTCCCCTCCACTCCCCTCCCCTCCAATCCCCTCCTCTCCTCTCCCCTCCTCTCCTTTTTCTTTTCTTACTCAATTCTGACACTATCTGTCCTGAGGTATCATCAGATCCCACAGGTTAAGGGCTCAGTCCCACAAGACTATAAATCAAAGGTTGCCTCAATCCCCTTATTGGGTTCCAATAAACTTGTTGGAGTGGTTCACAGAGCTGGGGAAATCAGTTTATTTGCTAGCTTACTGGTTTATTACAAAGACTATTAAAGAATACAAATCAACAACCAGATGAACAGATACATGGGGGCAGGTCCCAAACAAGCGAGCTTCTGTTCCTGTGGCATGTGGGCTTGGGGCCAGGCATAGTGGCCCTCAGAAGTTTTCAGACTTACCAACCTGGAAGCTCTAGAACTCCTTTCCTTTGGGATTTTACAGACACTTCACTGCATTGGCAGGCTTAATTAAATCATTGGCCATTGGTAGATTCAATCTCCAACCGGAAATCAGGGGTGGGACTGAAAGTTCTAGCCCTCTTTTCTTGGTTGGTTTCCCTGGCAACCACCCACCCTCTTCTCCCCCTCTCCCCCACCAGCCCAGGGGATTTCCTCAAGTCAATTTATTAACATAAACTCAGTCAGGCCTTCCTGGTTGAAAGGGACTTGTTACAAATAACAAAATACCTATTTTACCTTTACAGCTTTGAAGTGGCTTGATTTCAGGAACTGAGGACAAGAGACCAAATGTTATAATAAAAGATGTTTCCATTGTTTCCACTTAGGAAATTCCAAGGAGTTTAGGAGCTGTAAGCCAGAAACTGTAGGTGGAAGACCAAAATACATATTATTGTAAGGCCCCAAGTCTAAACGTCTAAACCAAACTGACTCCGTGACAGGCTTTAAGTTTCCCCTCTAAACTAGAAGGCCTGAGTTTCGGCTTCCCCGAAACTATCAGGTAGTTACACATTACCCAAGGCAGGAGTAACCACCCTTGCAACACCCAATCAAGAAAGGCCAGCGACCACCCTCCACATTGTTAAGGAAGAGGCCTGGAGATAGAAACTATAGATAGGACCCTGTTACCTAATGTTAAAGTTAACCCATTAGTCGCCGAATAAGACCCTACGCTCGCTCTGTGATTGGTTAAATTTAAAGGTACTCTAAACGTTGTAATTGGATCCCGCCAAAAGTAACGAATACTCTAGACAATGTGTATGGTCAAACCCGCTGTCAATGATGTTGTGTAATCATGATTGGATCACTGTTCCCATGTCACAACTTCTGTAACTCCCCAGTCACAAACCCCATAAAAACTCTACTCTGCCCTTGTTCGAGGCTCTCAGCACAGATCCACGGCGCTGGTGAAGTCTGTGAGCCTGAGCTCGAGCCCGTACTAAAGCCCTTTGCCTTTGCATGCGTGACTCGGTCTCCCTGGTGGTCTCTGGTTGGTGAGGATACTGCGATCTGGGTATAACATTATAAACCACAGTATCGCACTTAAAAATAATATTCATGAAAAATGTGCATTAACAAACTGTAAGTTTCTAAAGGCATTTCCAGTTTCTGATAATGACGGGCCAGGTTAGTCATAAAAATCTGAGAAATACTAAAAGCTAACTAAAAATTTAAAAATTCTTAAAAGTAACAGTAAAGGAACTTCAGTCATACGTAAGTGAAGTGTGACTGATCACTTTGATCATAAAACTGCCAATGAAGTAGGCACTTTACAGTCCTACAGCATTTCACACTATAGATAGATAGATAACTAATGCCTGTTTGAAATGCTCTCATCTTTAACCTCCCATATTATTGTCGCATTGATTTTTGAGTCCTTTTCAATCTCTTTGGACTCTATCTCTTTCTCTCTCTCCACTGTCTTTCTTTGAAGTTCTACTTTAGACCTTCCTCTTTTTACATCTGCTCTTTTCTTCATATGCCAGCTATATTAACATTTATTTAAATGCGGATGAAGCCCACATCATTATCACTCCTAACCTCCAGAGCAAGCTTTTTATCGACCCCATTGAACAGTTTTCTCTGATTAGCCCAAAAATACACTAGACAAAATAAAGATAAATTTATTATACCAACTCCTATTTATCAGTGTAGAAATAATGGAAGCATTGTTTCCTACCTCAATTTTACCCTCTCCCTTAGTAAAACCAAATAATTTCTATTTTAGAAACTTTATTCTATTCTTGCAGATCTATCCCATTCTCCGCTTTAGCTTATTCTAGGTCCTCATCTCCTCTTACCACCAATAATGCAGTTTTTCATGTCTCCACCAAGCTAACTCCTATGTATTAGATTAATATTTCTTTAAAACATGAGAAATTTCCAATCCCTAAGCAATGTGTTTCATTAAATATAACCTAATTTTTAGTATGTTTTGTAAGGACTTTAATTATATATCATGACATCAATACATAGAACTATGTCAAAACATATTAAGTCGTATAAATGTCCATGATCTGACATTGCTTCATAAAATAAGCTCCTATCATGCTTACTTTTCTAAAATCCACCAAACAGATACCTTATATCCAAGCCTTTGTCTATGTTGCTCCTTGCAACATACTATATTTAATATTACATTTTATAGTTGCCTGACTAATTCCTAATCATCCTTCCACACCTAATGAAAGTGATTTAATGTTATTGGAACAGTTCAAAATCATGCAGCCAATCAAAATAAACTTAAATCTCATTATTAATGCTTGAAAGAAGATACAGAGTGATGAAACAGAAAGAAAAAAAATACTATTTTTCACTTTTAGTTTCTAAATAAAGAAGATTTTTATATATTTTAATTTTACATATCTATCTTCCCTCCATCTAATTCAGGCAATCTGTTTGTTGATTAAAAACAAGTACCTAGATACAATTTTGGTTGTTAATACTTGAATTCTTAAGAATGAGAAATATAGGATATACATTCAAGTTTGGTCCAGAAAATATTTGCAATGTTTGCTTCACTCAGTCTAGTAGAATCCTTTAGAAATACTTGTGGTTTTTCCAAGAATGGTTAAGACACTTACTCAAGGTATTATGAAATTTGGGAGGGTTAGCACAGAAGATGTATTTGATGACTCAATCGTTTTCTCACAACAACTATCTTAATTTTGTCTGCATATAGCTTAGAATAAGTAGAGAAAAGAACAAATATTTAAAGCTAGATTAAAAGGGAACATGCAAACCAATTTTTGGAAATGAATTTGTATTGCTTTCCGATACAGTAAGTGAACAAAATAATTTTCTTTGGTGTATTAAAGTACATAGTTTTAATATAAGAGATTGGAAAGAATAGTTTTCTTTCTTTTTCTTTTTCTTTTCTTTTCTTTCTTTCTTTCTTTTTTTCTTTCTTTCTTTTTTTTTTTTTTTACAGATTAGAAAGGTTTATACTTAATGACAATGCAATTAACGAAATGGACCAGTGTGATATTCTGTGGAAAGTAAAGGTAATCATTATTTCTGCAAACTAAATTATGACATGGGCCTTGGGAGTTGATATGCCCCTGAAGTAGAACAGTGGAAGCGTGTTCCTGGCTTTGTCAGCTGAAAGCAGACTGCCTGTGATTGGTCTTATTGATGGGAATAAAGAAAATGACATAGCTAGCTGCATTCTAAACACCGGGGGGTGTATTGAATTTGCTGAAGCAATGAAACCACATCTGGTACAGCAACTGCTGTTGGAATAGTCATCACCAGATGGTTACAAAACCCTTGGTCATTCTCTAAGATCCATCTATCTTCTCCACGATCCAAATAGGAAGAATGAAATGGGAATTACCACCCCTGCATTTTTTAAGTCCTTGATGGTGGGTGGCACTGATCTGTGGAATTCTTCCAGAAATGTGGTGTTATTTTTGGTTTATTGTTTCCTATGTTCTGGCAGTTTTAGTAGCTTCCACCATAATAGCCCTAACTCCACAAGTCCGGGAACCTATGTGGGGAGTTGGCCAGCTGCTGAGTATATCTATTCCAATCGTACTTTGCAGAAAAGGAAAATAACCACAGGATGGGTTTGGAGACCCACCAAGTCCACTGTGAGAGGGATCTGATCTAAAACTCCATTGGTCATCTGACTTGTATAAACCCCTACTCTGATTGGTGGGCTACAGTTACATTTTGGCTCTCCTGGAATTAGTTCTGAGCCAGTGTCCAATAGTCTTTGAAAGCTCTGATTATTTCATTTTGTGTAATGTACAGTAGTTACCCTAGTAAAAGGCTGTAGGTCTCATTGAGGAAGGATGGAGAAAAGACTAACAGTATAAATTTTATACAGCATACCAAAATCCTTCCTCATGGAGACCCAGACTCCTCTTCATTCTGGATCTGTAAACTGGCTTAAGTCTGGGAATTGATTAAAGAGCCATGACTCTATGTTTTAATGATTCAGGTTACACTTTGGTTCACTTGATCTAGAAGTTTTCTGCTTATGCTGATCGAGTGAGGACTTAGTAGCCTTCCCATCTATTTCACTTCTAGGAACACCTTAATTGTGCAAGGTCACAGATCTATGTGAGTCACAGTATTCTAATGGCTGCTTTGGCTCTGCTTTCCATTATAGTCACCACGCTCAGCTTTCCTTTGCACCATTTGGCCACTGCCACTTTGGATCCAATTAACTCCCTAGCTTTTATTCCCAACTCAGTGATTGCAGTTCCTACAGTAAGTCTAGTTTACAGAGAAGAGTGATCTAAGAGTTCTTCAAGGATGCTGGAAGCTCCTCTCACAAATTGATCTCTCATGGTGAAGAGTATGTCTTCAGACCCTCCAAATGTGGGTGAGTTGGTTTTAAATAACAAATCGACTCTAACATTCCAAACTTCTTCAACTTTTGAATCTCTTTCAATACATTAAACCAAAGAAGTTCTAGTATTTCCAGATTGCTCACTATGGGCACCTTTTGGTTCATATTTTAGTCAGCCAATTAAACAAATTGTTAGGGTCCTTCCTAACGCCCCAAGCTGAAATATTAAATGCAGGATCTCTGCTTAATGAGCTCATATTAATAAATCTGGCCCAATCCAACTTCATGTTTCTTTCACCTCATGGTGAAATTCCACAGCCTTAGTATTCATTCCCACACATGTTCCCCAGATTTTCATCTGTATAAATTAGAAAACTCAAGAAGTTCTTTTGAAATAGAGCTCACCTTCTCATGAATCCCACTTTATACATCCACCTTTAGGGACCTTCTGAGACTTGAGTCTTGTTATAAATTTAGCAGTAAAGAAGAATGAAATGGAGATCCTGAGGATAATAAGAATTGTCTTGCAAAGCAACTGTCTCAGGGAGTCTGTGCACCTTCCTCAGTGCTGAAGGATTAATCCTCTCAGAAGGGGATAGAGCAGCTACTTCCACTGGATGTGAAAGGCTGCTCCCTTTGGAGATGGGGAAATCTCTTCCAGTGGTAAATAAGATTCATCAGAATTTAGAGGCTCAAAATCCCCAGCTTCACCAGGATATTCCCACATGTCCACATTCCAACTTTCAGGACCCCATTCTTCCTCACTTAATCCTCTCCCTTTAACAGTAGATACTGTGTGAAACTGGGAGCTCAATATCTGTAGTAACTCAATCATAGGATGAGATTCTAGATGATTTTCAGCAATCTTAACCAAGCAGCTAGAGAATAGAAAGGCGTCCTTCATGGGATACATAAGATTTTTAGATCATTTATGCAGCAATTGAGTTGGAAGTTCAAATCCCTAGCTCATCCTTTTCATTCTCCACTTTGTCCAGTACAAACAACCAGTTTCATTATATTTTAGTTTGCTAAAAAAAAAATGCATGAGACTATC